ATATATATATATATATTTCTTAATTATATTAAATATAGATGTACTGAATGTAGAGAATATTCTTTAAATAATAAAAAAAACTTGAACATATTACACATACACAACGTTTCCAGTACTATTTTCATATATAACATGTATATTTCGAATATATGTAAAAAATATTTACTTTAGCAATATTCCTTCAGCATTTTTAATATTTACGTGTTGTTAGAGGCTTATAATTAAGTAGACACACAGAATAGTATAATTTATTATAAAAATAAACAAATAACATACGATGACTTACTTACATTGTATACATAGAAATTAATTAATCTTGAATAAAGATTGAATATATATGGCAAATTGCAAAATAGGATTATTCAAATAAGAATAAGATTTGAATAATAAAATACAATACTTTTAATTTTAGAACAAAGAAAATTAATTGTAGAAGAAGTTTATAAATTTTCTTAAAAAAAATTATTAAAATATAATAAATCCTCTGTTTTTCTTTCTTTCTCTTACGCTATACTTTTTATTATTATTTAATATTAGATGTAAGAAATTATTAAGTATTATTTGTAATAATTAATAATTAATTTTTATGTCAGTCCAATATTAGAAATATTAATTGAATAAAATATCTTATTATAATTTCTTTTGCTCTTTCTGCTTGAAATAATCCTGTCTAAAACTCTCATTCATGATTTGCCCGATTTTTGTTCTAATCCATACAGGCGGCATTAAAGTGAAGAATTTTTGAATACTATGAGCCCAATATCCAGTACTGCTGTCCATTTTGCCTAGAATGGCAATGGCATTTCTCGCATACGTTGTAGCATTAGGCACAAATATACTTGAAACCTACGGTTTTCGATAAAATATAGATTTCTCAATAATTGCGATCTCAAAGTAGAATTGCAAGATTGAAATAATAAATAATTAAAATAAAATATAAAATTAAAAAAATAGCAAAGTTAATATTAACTTTTGTTAAAAATAAGCTTTGAAAGCTGAAATGTACTAATTACTTGATGATTTAACAAAATTGTTATTAAAATAATATCATTTTGATAATGATTTTAATACCTGAAGTCTGGAGCTATACGCATTCATCTTGGTATTAACGAAAAGAGGTGACAGGTGTTGAACAGTTATACCGAATCTAGAATATTCCGCCCTGAGAGCTTCAGAAAAACTTTTTATGTACGCCTTTGTAGCTGCGTACACCGTCATCAGTGGCAATGGCTGAAACTCGGATCCGGAGGAGACGTTAACAATCGCGCCTTGTTTGCGTTTTTGCATCTGTCCGATAACTAGCCGCGTCATTAACGTAGTGGCACCCACGTTTACGTTGATAATGTCCCACAGTTCCTTCTCAGGAACCTCTCCAACGTACATGGGATATTCGTATTGCTTACCTACATTGTTGACTTTAAACAAAAATTATTTTATATTATTCAATAATTATATTATTCGATTGTAATCATACAAGCATTTAACGATCTTTCATATAAATTTAATATAGTATACTGAAAGAATAATTTTTTATACTTTTAAGTATATATAAAAATTGGTCAAATTCTAAAATTTGAAAATAATTTTATTGGAAAATAATTTTATTGGACCATCAAAACAGTCGTGTCACGACACTTAAATTGGTTGCTGAAATATCAACAATTTTTGCAGTATTATCATTAGCCTTAAGCATTCTATATAATAATCTTGATCCAACAAAATTATTTTCAGATTTATCTGGCCAAATTTTTAAAAATTTCAGCATCTATCTTTTTCATACTTATAATTAATTTATGTCCCATTGAGTTCCGTGTTAAACGATCGTATTATTGGATTATTGGATGTAAAAATAGACAGAATATTGTGTATATTATGAATAATAATATTTATAATTGTGTAAGTATAATTAATATTATTTTGATTTTGACTTTAAAGCAAGAAGTATATAAACATATAAACATTTTTGTTCTTAGTTATATAAATTTAAACATATCATATAATATATTATATAAAAACAAATGAATTAATAAGCAGCATTTAACATGTTACTGTATATATCTCTCAATATTATCATGTTATGTATTATTTATCCCATGTAAGAATGACCTCTATATATCAGATAATAAAGAAGATGAAACTTGGAAATGTCACGATATTGAGTAATAAATGCTTTTAACTCACTAAACACGTTTGCATTGGCATTGCAAACTGCTATTACATCTATTTTTAGAAAGAGAAATCTAACAGTCAAGATTATCTCGTACATTTTTCTTTCAAATCGAAGATTACTTTCTCATAAAATGAGAAAAAGGATATACTTATATAGAAAGAACACAGAAATTGCATTCGTGGATTTATCAACCGTGGAGATGAAATGAATGGCAATTATATAATTATTTTCTACGAAATCTTTGATTTCACGCTTCTTAAATAACGATGATAATATCTAATTATGATACTTATGAATGTTCGATAAATTTTTGTAATTTTTCAATGGTCATGCAAGAATTACGAGATTATAGTGCCAAAATTATAGTAAAAATAATAAATAAAAATAATAATAAATCTGAAAATAAAATTTAATTACCTAATATACCGATAGATATATTTTGCAAAAGAGGACGAATTTTGACAAAAGCGTTTTCTCCTTCTGCAAAATCCGCCACAATAATCCTCACTTCAATTTTTGGATTTATTAATAGTATCTCATCTTTTGTATGTTCAAGCTTCTCTAAGTTTCTACTTATTAATATTAGATTCATATTTCTTGCTGCTAACTCTTTAGCATAAGCTTTACCGATACCATCAGTCGACCCAGTGACAACTGAAATATTAATTATCATTTTTTTTTATATATACAATTCTTGATTTTATAATATAATGAAATTCTTTAAGAAATTCTACAGGTATTTTTTTATTAATTAATTATTTTGTCTTTTCTCGTGTTAGGAAAATTATATCCAAAATAATAATATAATAATAAGCTATCATAGTTAAAGATAAAAGGTTTTATTTACGCATGCAAATATCATTTAAATTATTGATAATTTTTTTATCTTCAACTATAATGTTTTATCATTGTATTATTATTTTACATATTACTCTTTCGAGAAAAAAAATGAAAATTTTGCAAAAATATAAACATAGAATTTTTTGATCATTAAATTTGAAATAAAAATTTATAAAAGTTACAGTTAAAGAGGTATAATGTTATTGTGCTTACCTGCCCATTCTCCAAATTTTGTTCGTAAATCAATTGTTTTTTTATTGTATATTTGTACAATAATTTCCCATGTAACACGTAAAAATCTCGCAACAGGACCAAATAGGATTAAAAAAACAATTAAACAAACTAATAACCAAAATGCTATTGTTAATAACATTTTCTCCCGTTATTTCGTATTTTATTTATCTTTTATTATCTGCAAATTAAAAGAATATTAAAGCTAAACATTACAAAAAATATTTTCTTTTATTTTTTATTAAAATTCTATATATTTTTTTGTTAAAATAATGTTTTTGTAAATAATATATTTATTTACAATTATTTATTTATAAAGTTTTTGAAGTTATTTTATTGAAAAAAAATATATCTAATTAAATTCATTTCATTTTAATTCATTTCATAATTAATGTTTCTAAAAGTTTTTTGTAGTTAATATCAGTTTGTAATTTGTAAATTTTTGTACAGTATTATAATTTGCAAAAACACTTGCGAGAATTTCAAGGTTTTAATACGTGAAAGTATATTACCTAATCACGTAAGATATTTCGGTAACACAACGAAAGAAAAGAGCGTTTGTTTCAAGCAACACGTTTATGTTATTAAACGCTGCGTTTTTTTCCCCTTATATCTTATCAACCCTCGTTTTAATTTGCGCGCGAGATGTTCGAAGAACGAAGGCTGAAGCGAGACTAAACGTCATCTCGCTCGGGTGATTGTACTGAAGGCCAAGTCGAGAAGTCATGGCACTTTCTCCTTTTGCTCAAATTCTCGTATGTAATTTTTTGTGTTTTTAGGTCAAACGAAAGATTGCGACTTTCGTTGCATACATATAATCGCATAAGCGAGTTATTTTGCTGAATTAAAGGACGTCATTATCAACCATTTTCCACGTTCACATTTTGCAGCAAGTTGCTTGATCGATTTGTAAATAGCATGTAAAATCTCAAGAAGAAGATAATATTTATTTTGTAACAAAGCTATAATATAAAATCAAGAGAGTTATGAAATTATAAGAAACACATTTTTAAATATATAAGATTTTATTTCAGATTTGTTAAAGAAGATTAATTTCTTTCAACTCGCTTTTTAATCTTTTGTCGCTTATTTAATCGATCTTTGTGATAAAATTGTTTTCCTTATGTTCATTTGTTCTAATAAATTAACTTTAATTTCAATTTAATGTATTCTTTATATTTTTCTAAATCTCAAAATTAAGAAAAGATAAAAATTAAAATTAAACGGAGATTAAAGTTCATCTGCATTGATAAAAACATTAATATATCTTATGATCTTTTATTTTTTTAAATTATTTATCAAAGTATTTGAATATTTTGAAGTTTCTTGAGTTTTATTGCAATAATTTTCTTACTAATTTTGCACATTACAATTAAAAGATTCTTTTAAATACAATTTTTCGTAGAAGCAAATTTCGCGTAATTGTTGTATTTTCTTCGCGATTAAAACTATACTATAAATATACAATATAAACATGTTAATGATAAAACTTATTGAATCTGACTTAATACAATCCTCGTTCGAAGAAGCCACAAGCATACCTGACCGCATTTTCTGACCCATAATTTGCCCAGCGGGAACTAGTAATTGACTATTACATTATTCAGTTCACTTACAATTGCAATTGATTTATTCGGATATTAAAATTTATAAAGGAAATCAAGAAACTAGACTTTTAAATTTCTATCCATATTTAGACGTTGATTGATTTGGTATAATAGAAATGTAAAAACGTTTAAAACGTCTTTAAAATTTTTTTTTAATTAATAAGTAGTCAATTAGTTTATTTAAGTAATTAGTTAATTTAGTAATTAATTTAGTAGTTAATTTAGTAATTAGTTATAATAAATTTGCAAATAAAACATAATTCAAAGTATCAACATATATAAATTTTAATGTTTTTATAATTTAAATAAAAATCTATTAAAGAAAAATACTATTTGAGATCTGTAAAGGAACATAATTTTGTTAACTGCCTGATTCTTTCTATGTGTAAAGTATAATTTAAAAAAAAATTAGTTTACTTTTTTAAGTTACTTATAATTAAAATATTATTGGTACTTTGTTGATTTGTCTAAAGAAAGATTAATCCAAAATTAAATAAAATTGTAATCTATTATTAAAAGAATTGTTAATTTATATAAGGATTGTATAAGATTAACTGCTATTATAAGAATTATACTTTTGAACAGCTTATATATAATAATTTTTGGTATCTTTATCACAGATGAAAAATAAATAAACCAGCGCTACTATTGCAACATCAAAAGAAAAAGGATTTATGACATAGACTTTCGTATAAGTTACGTAACTATAATTGCGTCATAGTACACGCAGTCATTTCGTACGTGGAAGAAAAACTTTTAAGAAAGCCTCGTATGTGACATGAAAAGTGAAAGCAAGGAATGAAAACTCCATAAGAAGATGGAACTGTCGGAATGATGATCAGAAAACGTGCAACAAACATCATACGGATAAACAAACAGGATGACTCCGAATTCAATTCGGGCGCGTAAACCCGGTGTTTGTTTGAAGGATCAAAAGACTTTGCGTCCAATCAGTTATCGTATTATGTCACGAATAAATTTTAAAGCTGTGAATCCCGCGGCTCGTTAATATCGACGTTAATCATCGGCAATAAAGATTTCTCGCGATTCTCCACGAGGGCCGATAATTCGTCGCTGGCATGTGCTAATCAATTATGCATCGTGTGATTTGACTTTACATCATGCGGTTTCTTCGAATACCACGCGCGCGCGCGCGTGCTCGTTCGGGATGGGCTGATGGAAAGTGGGGAAGTCCGTGGACATGAACCCGGGTCGGAGGAGGATGGACCGATCCGGGACGTACGAAAAGGGAACGAGGACGAAAGAGGAGGAGGCGCGCGCAGCGGTTAGGTCTCTTTCACTTCACACACCGACACCGGCCGTCGCTTCATTCCTGAAGGCCTTCCCAGCGACCTGACGCTGACCATCGCCGGCTGCCACGATCGGCCGCTTGAGCACTCCGTGTGTTCTCCTTTCGGCACACTCGCCGATGTGTTTCGAGTGCGCGCGACCAGTTTGCCAGCGTCGTGCCTCCCGCGCGAGGTCTCAGAAACGGTGAAACGAAGGTGCTCCTCGCGTGGAAGGGATTTTTCGTGGGCAAGAGGGATCGATCGATTTATCGGCGCGCCGATAATTCGCAAGGCCAAGGTCTTCATGAAGTTCTGGAGTACGTCGGCGCGCTGGGCCGCGCGTTACGAAGGATTTGCGGACTCGCGGAGCATGTCGCTCCGATTTTAAATACGCCTTATCTGTCCGGTTGGGTCGTGTGCCGGATCACAAAGTAAGTCGCGAAATCCGGACGGATCTTTAATCGCACAGACGTTTACTCCACGTCTTATATAAAGATATATCACGTCTTATATAAATGATTCAGTGATTTATAAATGATTAATCTGTTACGTCTTATATAACTTACCAATAATGAGGAGTAATAATGTACGCGCATAAATAAGTGCCAAAAAGTGTTGCGATGAGTCGATCGACTGAGCCACTCGGCCTTTCGGACTGACTAAAAACTAATCGATAATATTTTCGTGTGTCATGACTAATAAAATATAACACGTCATCCTTGTTGTGATAATTAAAATCTTTCTATTTCTAAATTTAACAATTTTAAATTTAATTGCTTTGCAAGATTACTCCAGATCAATATATATTGATTAATTGTGTGAAAGCACCATAAATGCTGTTATTATGATGATTATGATTAAAATTCCTGTCACATAACGCAACACGCAATGTATGTAATTATTTCCAAATAATTGTTCCTGGAGAATACCTTTGAGTCAAGATAATAGAATATGACATTAGTTCTCATCGATATCTTTTTCATAAATGATTCAGTGATTTATAAATGATTAATCTGTTACGTTGGTTATTTTCCGTTCTGGTATGTCTACTTGAAATGTAACACTACGCGTAGCTTCTAGCACGTGTCTGACACATGCTTTGGCGATATCTGCTAAACATCACGATTACGTTCCGATTTTTTTGAGATAACTGCGCTTGTATATAACCACTTTCTACCCGGAGATAGAAATTCCACGTAAAATAATACAATTCTTAGATTTTACACGCAAAATTGTGTTTGTACTGTGTTCTATGAAAACGTGATTCATACTATGTTTTATTTATTATGAATTATTGTTGTACAGTAATTTTTGCAACTTTACTATATTCTTAATGAAAAAAATTTTAATAAAAACGTTTATTAGAGAACTTTTTTTTTCTTATTAAAGGCTTTATAAAAATGAAATGTAAATATATCTGATGAGATAAAAAAGGTCGTTAATCATTTAAAAATATGCATTGCTGCATTTATATAATGCGACTTTTACGAGTAATATAATTCTTATGACTGCATACCGAAGAAGAAACACTGTGGCTGCATTGTGGTACGATTGCACTTGCATATATTTCTCGGACTATGACCGTAACATTGGCCTAGAAAGTTATACCGCGGTCCATTCTCCCATTGTCTATACCGAAGAAAAGAAAATGGGATGAATAGCGACGAAAAAATTAAAAAGATAGAAAAAATAAAGAATTGACACGTCATATTCAATACTTTGATTATATAAATAATCAAAGATAGAAAAAACTAGCACGACGTTACTCGGAGATATGTAATAATAATTATACGACTTCGTAATAAAGTGTTGTCAACTACATAAAAACTGGCTACGAAACCAGTTCGAAAAGATTTTTATGGATAAACATCGACTCTCATATTCTCGACATATTATTGACTCTAATATTGTTTGTGCTAAGTGAACTGTGTTTTTATATTTGCATCACTACGAAATCACTACAACGTTAATGATTAATATATTATTTTTATATATTTGTTATTCCCGTTTGAAAGTTTAGTAAAACCGGAAGTTAATCTTTCTAACTGAATATTTCTTTACTTTGTAACGACAATAAATAATGTACTTTTTATTGTTATAAACGTAAAAATAATATCTATGTTCGAGGTTTTTGTTTCGCAAATTTTTTTAATTTCCATGTCATTATAATAAAGACGTTCTCTGACATATCGCTTTATTATAAACATCGTGATCGATATTATCTCATATATTTATCAAAATGAATAAATAATTTAATCACAATTGATTTATTTCTGTAAGAATGGCTTTGTTAAAGTATTTAAAAATTTGACTAGATATAGTATTTTGTAAAAAAACTATTTTATAGAGCCATCAAAATTATTATATAGGATGCTTCAGCATGATAATAATGCTGCAAAATTTTTTTATATTTTAACAACCAATTTAAACATCTTACATCTTACATAATTATTTCAAACTGTATGGTTCGATTTTTAAATATTTTACTAAAAGTGTTTTTTTTTATGCATACAAAGTATGTCGGTCAATTTAAAAGTAGTACAAGAGGATGTAATATTTAATGAATAGAGCCATCATAATAATTTTATAATGATAGTCCGTTGGAATGGAGAATTCCATTGCTAAAGTGGACCTCTCTCTTCTTTTTTTGCAGATTCACTGTTTTACATCCGTACGATATTCTGTAAGAAAGCCCAATGCCTGTGGTGAATAAAGAAAAACGATGACAGGATGTCGAGTGTGGAGGATAATTTTACTCGTTGCTATATGGGAAACGACTGCGAGCGTAAACACAAACGTCGCACAAATTTATTCAAATAATGGAGACAAGAAATCGTTTGAGCCAGACAAATATATTTATTCCTGGACAGGGCCAAATGCATTGGCCAGATCGGCCTTGGTGGAGAGACAGGAAAGGCTGCAATATAATTGCGAGCTCGAAAGTGGAGGGGTCGATATCGCCGAGCTGAATCCAGAATCATTCAGAAATATCCTCGTGGATGATTTGCATGAATTGCTCTATTGCTATGTACCAAAGGTATCACAATTTATCGTCTTTTTTTGATTATCCGTAATAATTTATGATAATAATACTATTCAATATTTTTAAATTTGATTTTTGCTTTATTTTTGCGCGATTTCTTGCTTTTTTGCTATTTTTTGATTTTTCAAATGATTCAAATAAAAAGTACTAAATTGCGTTGCATTTTAAGACGAAACGAGATTTCATTTTTCAGGTGGCTTGCACAAATTGGAAGCGCGTACTAATGATCGCGACCGGGAAATGGCCCGGTAATGATCCCTTAGAAATACCAGCCGATCAAGCTCATTCCCCTGGTACTTTTCAGCGATTGAGCAATTACACTTTGCCCGAGATAGAGAAGAAATTGGCGACGTATGATAAGTTGATTGTCGTGAGACATCCTTTGGAAAGGCTTCTGTCGGCCTATCGAAATAAATTAGAGACCAAACATGAGAAAAGTGCAAGATATTTTCAGACTCGCTTTGGCAAAAAAATAGTTAAGGTAAAGAATAAATCTTTTTATAGTACGATTTTCATCACTTTTTATTTATTACATAGTTCTTGCTTTTTAATCTTGATTTTTGATTGTATATTATTTCTCATATAACATATTAACAGATCGATTTCATTATTGGCTGATGATCTTAAATTAAGCATGAGCGTTTAAAGGAAACCAGGTTGAATAAACTGATTTTTCTGATGAAGTTCTTTCTATTGAGTTATTTTAGTTATATTACATGAGCCACGTGGCTACAAACGAAAAAGTATTTGTTTATTCAGGCACCGTAAAATCTAAATTCTTATTTACATCAGTAATTGATTGAAATTCAAAAGTACCGTATAATGACGCACTCTTCGGAACATGATTATGATTAATTCTGCATGTTGTTCTACTTTTATCGCATTAACCGTTAATGACATGTTCCGTATGCAAATAGAGGTAGATAAGTGGTTTCACATCGGAAACACCGACTCACAAATAGAGATTTTAACTGTGCGACACTTTTTAAAGAAATACAGACCGAATGCAACCGAGGAGTCTTTAAGGAACGGTGACGACGTAACGTTTCGCGAGTTTGTCAATTTCGTCACCGACGACACCGAGAATGGAACTCGGAACGAACATTGGAGGCCGATATATGATTTGTGCCAGCCGTGCGTAGTCAATTACAATCTCGTAAGCAAGTATGAGAGTTTGGTCGAGGATGCTACAGAAATTCTCGAGAGAATAGGTGTGACATCTGTGAAGTAAGTATATGCACTTATGATAATAAGATGCTAATTTTTATAGCTATCATACTCGCAAACATCTTATTAAATATAATTATTCAGTTTTCCAGGTAGACCACCAAGCAGCGAACCGACATCGAGAAAATTGGATAGGTATTATTCCACTTTGAGTTACAAGCAGCTTCGTAAGCTGGCGGATCTGTACAAATTAGATTTAAGACTCTTTGATTATTCGTTGGAGGACATGTTGGGATTTTCCTTGGCTTAAAGTGCATTAATATTAAACATATATAGAAATTGGACACAAAAAAATTGTTATAAAATCTATATACCGTGAGTTAATATGAATAATTACTAATGCATTTTGTAAATGCACATATATAAAATGTTTGAAATATCAGAATTTAATTTAGGTTTTTTTTTGGAAAATTTAATGGAGACTTTTTTTATGTAAACAAAATTTGGTACTACCTCGTATTATCTAGTATTGCATGTATTGTACAAAAATGTTTTTAAATTAATAACTTGTAGAAACGTGTATATACCGATATGTATATATACGTGTATATATCTTCTTTTAAATTTAAGTCTTTTTTTACGTCATAAGAATTTAGCTATATGTGTGATGTATATATACAGAATTTAGATGTATGTATGTATGATATGTGAGAAAAAGTTATCAATATCAACAAGAAATCAAAATTAAATATATAATAGATTTTAAACATTCGAGAATAAATTATATAAAAATATATTAAACATATCAATGTGAAATATACATAATTAAAATATGATTTGTTTTATAAACTGCGGAATAAATTGTACGCGTCTTTTACTTTTCGTTTGTCTTATTTATACGAAAAATTTCATACGTCGAATTTGTTTAAATTATTGTTATATATACTTAATTGAATGCGGCATCCTTAATCATTGTGTTTTACGATTGAAATATATTCATACTCGTAAATATATTTCAAACTATTTATTTTTAAAATTATGGCGTTTTAAATGTACAACGGTGTCTCTGCCAAGAATTTAAGGATAATAAAGCGAATAAAAGAACTTGTTTTGCTCGTGCCAAGAAAGAATCACTCGTCAACTTCTTACAAGTCAAGTTTCGTAAAAGTCATATAAAACATACGCCACAACTTTTACATCAGTCCGCAATTTATAGAACGAAATCTTATCTTGGGATAATCTCTATTTATACGCGCACCTTATGTACTGTGTCATACGAGTTAATTCGTAATAAAAGTTTCGCTTTCCTATTTTCGTAACGGGAGTTTGTGTCATATCATGTTCAAAGTTATTGCTTTGAACGCCGCCATATTTGCGTGCCTATGTGGATATTATGTGCAGAGATATCTTTATTGCACATCTCGAAGGAATCCGTAAAAATCAGAAGATATGCATAGTTACCAATCAATTATTTTTGATAGATAAAATTGTACATAACGTTGCGCAAACAACACAGTTATGTATATTATGTATCTAACAATAAATTACATTCAGTAATTAATGTTAACTGACTAGTTAATTACTCTCGATAGCTATTATTCACCTAATTATTTTGGATTAATGAAATTAAATCGGGTATTATTGCAATAAAATCGATTCGAAGAAATCGAAGAATATTAGAAGATTAGAAGGCTGGCTAATATAGATCTTTAGATATTGTTATATGGATTTATATTTAATTTTATTATCGCGGATGAGCACACTTCTAATGACTTTAATTCATAAATTGAAGAAATAGGTGTGCCTGGTACATATTTTTTTTCGTACGTGTTACATAACGACGAGTTGGAGTTCAGGTCGGAGGTGTCCGTACATTGTTCATCGAGATTGATGTTTGGCTAAACGAGTTAAATTTAGTCGAGAGCTCGAAAATGATGGACGAGCCTCTATATTGGCACACATAAGCTAAGGAGTGAAATCTTAATCGCACGCAACAGTTCTGGCATCGGCGAACGAATTTTAGAATAAACGTAATGCATTTTGCAGTGCACCCAATCACACTTAATGGACCGGCGCATATTAATTTCGCAACGATCTTGAACCTGTCAATACTTATCATGTCTCGACGGTTATCTGGAAGCGATCTAGCGGCGTTTTTGTCAGAAAGTTATGCCTAACATCCACAATGCCTTAATATAACTCGAGGTAGCGAAACTCTTTGCTCTCCAAGCAACATTAGCCGATGGTGGGATCTCGTCTTCTACCAATCCTGGAGCAGAAAGTGTTCGCGAGAAGGTGCGACACGGTACGCGCGAGTAACGGGTGGGGGTGGTGATGCGGTTCCTGGAGGAACTTCGGGATTACAAGGCGGTCCGAGCGCGCGAATCCTGCACTGCGTAATCTAGTCTACGATCGCACGTAGGGTGACGAGGAACGCATTTCTGGATCCGAGTGATTTTTAAGAAGGCTCGAAGTGTCTTTATGCGATAAAATTTCATTAATCAGAAATAAAATACCAATAAAATACCTGTTATTTACGGCAAAATTTGCAATTAGTTTGTGTTAATCCAAGCCTTCGTGAGTATTCGCTTTTAATCCTGGAATGAGACACTTAAACGATTGCCTTAAACAAAACTGAACAAAAATATTATATGATATATCATTTAATTATAAATAACGAACAAAAAAACGAGTGAAATGTAGAAAAGAGACACAAGCTAATTAGTGTGATATTGTTATAACATAAGTTTACATAAATGAAAAAAAATCAACGATCGATTTTTTATTTATGAATAACAAAGGAAAATTTATTGGATAATAGTGTACTTAGTGAATAATAAATTTTGTATTTTTGTATGTAACACAGAGTGCTGTTCATATCGGCCAAAAAATGCCACAAGCAGCGGGACACGAGACACAGAATCTTCTGATGACATATTTGATCCTTATTCTTTTATTAATTTCGCTTTGGGTATTATACTCGGGGTTGTTTTTTTAAACACAGCAAACATTCCTCACCATGGTGAGTTACGTTTATTAGTAAATATAATTTTTGATTTTTATTTGCAAAATACATACTTCTATCCCGTATTTTTTAAATTTTAATTTAATTTTTTTAACTTTAATTTTAACATTAATATGAAACCTCGTAAAAGCAAAACTTTCTACTTTTTTTCAATTCAATTATCTGAGCATATATTCATAATTTTCATAATTTTAAGATTATATGATGCTATGAAAGAAGTTAAAAAATAAACTAATTAGAAGTCGCACAATTAATTATGAGATTAAAAAGGTATTAAGGTTAAGTTGGTCATTGAAATCTCTGAATAGTAAGCGGAATTTCATTATTTTCAGTCTTGCTTTGCTTTATTCCTATACATCTTACGACGTTGTATTATCCAGTATCTTATTATTAACAAATTATTTAATTAAGTAATAAAAATTAATATTATTAATATTAATATATAAGAAACACATATGAATTTTCTGAAATTCTAATAATAATTTTAAATATGAAACGTCGTATATTTTAGGGCTGAACAACAGAGAAAACACGTGTCGAAAGGCGGATGCATTCAGGAGATCCAAGATCATCGTGGACACCTTGTTTGGAGCTCACCAGTTCTCATTTATAATATTTTTTACAATCTAAGCGCCTGGAGACATGTTCAACACAAATCATTTTTGACTGTTTAGTGACCGATTTCCGCGATGAAATTTATTCAAAAATATATTTGCCGGGTAATAGAAGGAATTGTAAAAGTTTATTCCTTTATAGATCGTGTCTTGCTTCAGTTTCTTGCTACATCTTCGTGGAAATCGGCTATTGATAATTACATTAATTATATCTCCCTAGATAATTAGCTATGAATATATTATCTGAAGTTAAACAATATTTATTATCTTATAATACTCTTACAAGAGTATCGTCAGCTATAATTCGCACCGTCATTGAATTGTGTTCATCGAAATAAATATATCAGTTTGTTTTATGTGCGTTCGTGTATATCGAATGCGGTCTCGTTTACCTTATTCGATTACAATATGAAAAACGTAAATTTTCTTTAAATTTGTTTATAACAGATATTTCAGAAATTTGTTTATTTTATTTATTAACATTTTCAGTACACGACATTATTAGAAACGATTAAATATATTTTCTCGTTCGGAATGCCGGCTACAATTTATCTTGCTGTTATTTATTGTCACCCCGAAAATAACTTGTCATTGTGTAATCATTATCAGGACGTGCGTATAAATAAACAACGATTATAAAAGAAGCCGCAATTACGAAAAATGCGGATTTTGTTACGAGGTGCAAATAGAGAGAACTTTGTAGAGATGTGGACGACGTTGCCCATGATATATGCGTGGGCGTTTCTCCAAAAATAGTCGGCGCTTCCAGCTCTCAAAAGCCGTACGTCTACGTAGAACTAAATCGGTATTTTCGACAGTGTACGCGAAAATAGATGACATGATTAGTACACATTTCAATGCTGGGCAGCAATTAGGGCTGCCTTAACGAAAAGCTTTCAAATATTACGTAAGACAAAGACGGTATGACTCAAGTATCGAATTACTCGCTTGTTATCTTCAAAACTACTTGCGAGATATTAATTCTTACGATATAAACATTTATTTTTCTCTTTTTACTTATCTTTTCATCTTCTTATTCGATAATTCATACATCTCGCATATTCGCGGAGTTAAATACCAGGTTTACTCGCATCTAATAAATCGTGCGCTTTTATTTCGCGTTTCCTTTGCTTCAATCAATCTTCCATTTCTCGATCGTACCCTGTTTGCATTGCTATTTCAAATATATTTCTTATATTATTGCCAATATTAATGGACAGGTGCGTGCAGGCATATGACGAAACACACAAATTAAATGAGATCGAGAGCACAAACGAGATTAACGTGTCATGTTACATAATCGAGCGACATCCCCCCGAGAAAGGATCAAAATAGCAACATTATCTATATTCTATATTGATCATTTGTTACATGATTTTATTCTAAAGATTACCGCATCACGTGTAGGACACTCGTCGTAATAAATATTTTCACGGGCGTGGACTTAAATGTTACGGCAGCGCTCCAGTAACCGCTCGAAATAGATCTAATCGTTCCAGATTCGTAGTTGCTCGATGCGGCACCCGCACACGTGGTGTCCTGAATGTTGTGCATACCGATGTAGCAATAATATTCATATCTCAGTTAACTGTTTAATAAAAACGCGACATTTTATCTCGATAAAAATTAAAAACATCTAATTAGAAAATTGCTTGTGATGTATATTAACTCTTTAAGGATTGGTTTCTTTTTTTTTTTAAGGCTTAAGATAATATACATCGTCTAGTCACTTTTAAAAGTTTATGAGATAAACTAAATACAAAAGTAAGACCGAGACTTAAAAAATCAAAATGACGAATTTAATATGACGGATGCAAAAAATAAACTATTATTAAATTCTAATGTTTATTATTTTTGGATTATTAAATACGAAGATAATATCGAAACATAAAAAAATTTCAAATTGGATCTAATATAATACATGGATGCGAGAAATAAAATGTTATCAGATTTTAATGAAGTTTTATTGTGAAGGAATGTATATAATATTTCATTATATTATGAAGAAATATAATGAAGATATTATGAAGAAATATAACATTTTATTTTTTATTGATTTATTTTCGGAAATATGTTTCAATACACATGTAATCCCATATCACATTTTACATTAATGGTTGTAATTTTTTTTTCAATAGCTTTGAAACAATATGAAAGGCTTGATGACGCGTGTTTATGCATATATAGCATAAATATCATCAGAAATGTGTATTATGTTAATTATATTTAAGTAGATAAAAAAATTACTACACATCATGTCTAAACTATCATGATTAATCTGAAAACTTTACAACAACTTTACACGAATAATTTTATGTTTATCTTTATCACAATTTTTTTTAAGTTAAAGTTCAAACAATTTCTTTTAAAAAAGATTCTAGTTGACTGTAATAGTTTAATTTTTACTACAGATATGAATATATTATTTATATTCCACTGGAATTTAAAAGGTTAAAAAACTTAATTACGTTGTTTAATATATTATATTTCTTTATAAAACTTCTGATCAACGATAGTTATTTTGATTTCTTATAACTGGAACGAAAATATAATCCGACAAAATAAATAATTTCTATGGCACTTATAAAGCTGCATCCCAAAAAAAGGCTAAATATACCGCCCAACGATGCTAAAAAATTTTCCTTTTTTTAATTATATCTTATAAAATCTTAAAATAAATAATTGAATCCAAGTAAAATCATTTACCCAACAAATATAATTCATCAGCAATCGGTATTGTTGTCATTTGCATGAATGTACTGGATTTCATGAATACTTTTAAGATAGATTGAGTGTTCGAAATATTTTTACTGAAAATTATATATATATATATATATATATATGTACATATACGCGCGCACGCGCGCGCGCGCGCGCGCGCACACACACACACACACACACACACACACAC